GGGGAGATACTCAGTATTTATGTTCTCATGACAGATCGGTAATGCGTACAACACAACGAAGTTGTTAGTTGTTACAATTCGGATCCTTGATTTTTGGCATAATTCTTGTTATCTCTAGCTTTGTTGCTATACTTGCTGTTCTGAATATATCTGCTGTTCTAAATATATGCTACGATAAAATCATATTGCTACCCCTAAGTATTTTATTTGTCGTTGTGTCCTGAGTTTGTATCCATTATTATACTAACATCTCCATATTTTCTCCTTCAATTTTTTCAGCTGCTATCTCTAGTATATTTTCTTTTAATCAGTTAGTTATATATTTAATTGCATTCTCCACCTTTTTGGTTTAATTGCAGCTTCGTTTTAGCTTGTTCTACAAATCGTCCGCACATGTTACTAATTCCACTTCCTTCGTATAGTATATTCCATAGTAAGGGGCCGATCACAGGTTCTTGTGGAACGCCACTATTTATGACTACTTCATGCTCTTCTTGACCGTCTTGTAGGAATATCTTATTATCTTGTAGATAGTCATGAATAATCTTTAACAGATACTCACTACTTCTTTTATTTTGTGCCACGGGATTGAATTAAAAACGTTTTTAATGGTATATCATTTTAAATATTTAAAGACACAATAGAATTGTAAAAGAGATAGAGCGATATCGTTTACTAATTACAAGAAAAAGATAGAATTTCGGTTACCACGATACAGATAGATGTTGTGAAAGTCTTGATTTAAATGTAACAATAATATAAATTAGATGTAAGTGTATTCAAAATAAATTCCTTACGGTAATCATATATTATTAGCTAAAAAATATGAAATACTCATTTTAACTCTATACCCGCACATATTAAATTCCAATATGCATTATCATGTCAGTATAAGTTTCTGTTTTTATATAAATAGATCAACTTCAGTCAAACTACCTCTTATTTACGCATTATACATATATTCATCGGACATTATGATTACTTTTTGTAACACAATTATGTCACATTTCCGGCGTTTATATTTGTTGCATTCTTATAATAAAAAACTGCCTGAAAGAAGTGATCATGAATATTAATGTCATCGACCTAGGTTACCTCGGATAAGTAATGATCTGAATAATTCTTCTGGTTGAATTTTGTTCAAGGTAATAACCGGTTGTCCAATTAAAGGTTTTGCTTAACTGTGAATTAATGATTGTATAATGTTTTTGAATATATTATATGAAAGAAGCTTGTAAACATTCTTTAGGATTTTCCGTCAATCCAAAAGACTCACGTAGATTAAATTTTACCAAGGTATGTTGCGATGCTATATTTAAAAGTGGTCGTCGATTCTTAGGGATGATGGAATAATTCACTATGATAGTGACCGGTCAGATATTTAAGTAAAGAACCATTCCCAACATTTACAGAGCATCTAGCTTAAGATGAAAAACAGTTAATAGATCTTGTAGATATTAATTTGATGTTAATTGTTGATACTTCTCAATTTAAAGAACATATTCCAAAAATTGATTTCTTTCCGTTCTTTTTATTTAGCAATACTTTATATTCTTCCATCTTTGTCTCTAGAAGAATTTGATAACTTTCTAGAGGCCATTGGAAGATGTGATATATTCAAAAATAATAAAGTTTTATTATTAAGAGACTTTAAGATAGTTACTTAGCAAGTAAAAGATATACGAGTTGACGCTGATAATCAATTTGAAGGAATACTTCGAAAGGCAGAGGATTTTTTAAAAAAATACGATATCAACATAAAAATACCACGGTTACCATCCTGACATACTTAATGATTGGTTATACCAACAGCATCTGCAAGAAATTATTTTAAATCAACAATTTTCATTCCCTTTTTAGACTTTTTAATTTCTAATCTAGAAGACAGATTCTTAAAACACAGAGAAACCATAACCCTCATCAATTTATTGTTACAGTCTGTTCGTTATACTTACGCGGGTTTCGGATTAACAAATAGTCATTGACAACCAGTTCCGATAAGCCTCTTCCCTAAGAAATTAGGTGAAATTGCCTTAATGGTCAGATTTATATTAAAATAACATTAGGGTAGGCACTAAATTTGTTACAAATATTGCAGTTGAATTGATTATTTGCAAGTGTTAACATTGTATGTATATTGTAAATTTAGTAGCAATTTTAAAAATGCCTAGACGTGTGTTACATATAGATAGTCTAATTTGTAGTGTACATAAGTATTTTACGGATGAAAAAGAAAACGGTGGTCCTTTAAAATCGGTAATGTCTGTACAACAACGCGTATGCGATGCTCTAGGAATTAGTGAAACCAAATTAAGAGGAGTATTACAAAATCACAATAGTGAACTGCCGAAAGAAGATCACCGCAAAACTCGCCCATCATTGAAAACGAAAGATATTCTAGATGGAAAGAAATTTGAAATTCGTGATACTATTTATCGAATGAGGGTCAACAAGGAATATGTGACCTTAAATACAATTCTCTCGGAATTAATAGATAGAAAATTTGACGACATTGTCAGAATAAGTCTATGGCAAGTGATACATAACTTGGGTTTCAAATTTCAAAAGAAGGATAACAGAAAGGCCCTTTGTGAAAGAAGTTCTGTCGTGCACAAGAGAATTAACTTTCTAAGAAAATATTCTAAATTTAAAGAAGAAGGGGCGAATTTTATATATTTAGACGAAACATGGATATTTTCTAGAGGTGCAACCAAGATGATAAAGTAAAGTCCATCAAACATACCGATGGAGAAGGGAAGCGACACATAATTTTATATGCAGGAGGGAAATCGGGTTTTATAGAAGGTGCTGATTTAATATTTTTATCTAAATCAAAATCCACTGATTATCACGATAATATGAATACAGAAATGTTTGTAAAATGGTTGCATGAAAAAATTCTCCCAGGCTTAAGTGAGCCCAGCGTAATTATTTTAGACAATGCACCACCATTCTAAAGTATTAAACAAAAGTCCAACGAATTCTTGGACTGTTAATAAAATGAAAGAATGTTTGACAAAGGAACATATACCATTTCCTCAATATATATTAAAATCAGAATTATTACGCTTGGCAAATATACACGCAAAACCAAAAACCTTTATTGTGGATCAGATTATTGAAAGTTACAGTCATTAAGTTTTATGTCTGCCACCGTATCATTGCCAATTTAATTCCATCGAATATATATGGGGAATAGCAAAACAATATTATGACAACCATATTGGGCCTAATGGTTATAGTGACGACGCAGTTCGGGGAACTTGGCGAAAAGAACTTTCAATTGCAACTCCAGAAGTGTGGCGAAACTGTATATCCAAGTGCGAGAAACTAATAGAAGATTGGTGGACTCGTGAAAATAAAATAAACGGAATAAGTCCAATCATAATAACAATCAATGGTGATGACAGTGATGATGATGACGATTATCATATTTTGGATGATAATGACTGATTTTCATTTTTGTTGCGAAGTACAATTTTTTTATTTTTTATTTGAAATTCTCTACATGGAACAAATTTTTATGTTAGAAAATATTTTATTTGAGCTAAATAACCCTCTTATTATAGACCATATTTTCTGTCTGAAGTGTAATATAAAATTATTATTAGGTTTATAATAGCCACATTAGACTCCATTAATGAAGAAGTTTAATTCTGCTCTCAATTATACAAAAGATTCTCCATTATTATTTAATTAAAAAGTTGTACATTATTTGTCATTTCATTTAACCAGTTGATATATCCCCGAAGAACAGGTCAAACTTTCGGGTACTTACCTGGAAATACTCATAAAATTTTTAATCAGAAACCCGCATAAGTATAGCGAACAGACTGTACCTTGAAACTTGACAATTTTAAGCAAAAACAAGCTCTATAAGGTGACAGAACTTAAATTAAAAATGGGGGTTTAAGAGGGATTGAAATTAAAAAAAAATCATAAATCAAAAATAGAAATCAACATGAAAATTCAAATTTTACTAAGGCTAGTATTTAATTGTCAAAAAATGATACGAAAACTCAAAACCTTAATTTTGGGTCTGGTACTTCATCATCGGAACTTGACATTGTCAAAGTGTTTGAAATATAACCTAGTAACATTTCATGCACCTACCATATCGATATGATTGCTGAAAGATTATCTAGTTTGTTGTCTTTGTTTCGGTGTTTGGCTTTAGTTACCAATTTTGAATGTTTTAAAATGGTATATTTTTTAATGTTTCGTTCTCACAATCAGACAGGTTACGGAATTATTCTTTAGGTCAATTCATTAGAGACAATTGAATTATTTCGTATGCAAAAGAAAGCTATAAGAATCTTAGTGAATGTCAACCACTCTTCAAAAAATTTGTATCTTATGACATTACCATCACTATTTATTTTTAATACAGTTCTCGAAATTCACAAAAATACTGCAAATCTAGTGAAGCAGTCTGATGCCCACCATTAAAATACAAGACAAGCTGGAAATCCAAGAAAACAAAAATTTCGAGTAACTAAATTGCAAAAAAAGTCACTCAACTTTAACTTAAATAATATAAAATTTAAAACAATTAAAGTTATCACAATTTAAAAGAAAATTAAAGCGATTTCTTCTTAAAATATGCTTTTATTAAGTTACAGTCTATTTTAAAAGTAAAAATGGTACATATTATTATTTGTAACTGTATTTATATTTGTGTAATATTTTGTACTTTCGTTTTTTTGTTTTTGGAACAATTTTTGTGACTTGCTGCAAATGTACTATTAGTATATAACGCACTAAATATAAATTATATTCTATTCTATTCAATACCAACCATACAATAGGATAATATCGAAAAATAAATATTAGACTTCAACGCTGGGTTAAGCAAGAAACTCATCTCAATACTGTGTATATTTAAACCTATCCCAACTTATAGCTACAGCCAGCATCAGCAACATAGGTAACCCGCAATATCTTCGGCTCGCGACGAAGAACCTAAACAAAGACTTTATAGATCTCGAAAGACAACACACCTTGCAGCTTCTTCTCCGTCTCCCAGAACTTTTGTAGTTCCGTGAAATACTTGTCCAAGATAAAGACCTTAGAGAGGCCTAGGGTAGCCATGTTGTGTTATCAGGACCCGAAGGGAGGACCGGTGGCCATATTCCGGACATATCACAGCACACAAGCACCCACGAGACGTTGAAAACGCAGAACAACGACCGACGACAATCACTTAGCGATGGCTTAAGACGCACTGACTCCGAGAGGCGGCTTTACCTGCGACCCGGTCATGTGACCCTCCCCGCTCACCTGTACTACACCTGTACGGCCTTAGAGTATTCGGGATATCATAGGAACGAGAAATATTGAAGGTGGGCGAAGATGGTTTTTTTATAGTTAAGGAACCGTTCTTTTAGGGATTCAAAATAATGAATGGGGCATGTTCAAAAATTTTGAAATTTTTTTTATGAATAGTAGAGTTAAAAATAAAACTAAATTTTTTTTATTTTTTTTTTATCTATTCATTTGCCGGAGTTATGAATTTTTTTAAAATTTATGACGTCACCGGGAATAGACCAATAGGAGCTAGCGCACAACGTTGCCGGCTAGAAGGTTTACGAGAAGTGATGTACGTTCGTTTGTGTACTCCTTCTTACTTTTAGACTTCTAAAACATCGTTAAACAAATATCTTTTAAATATATAATATCAAATGTTTTTTGAAAGTATTGTTTCTGTTTAAACTTTTACTATATTTAAAGTTTTATTGTTTTAAAAGTCACTTAATAATTCAGAAAATGGCAAAACGGCAGCACTGTATGTCATCTGTCATAGTGTCTCGATCAATAATTTATTGGGAATTTGAGTGTTTATTTTGTACTTTTTATAAATAAATATTATGACTACGAAAAAGTGTTTTGTTCCAGAATGTGATAATGATTCACATTCATCTTCAAAAATATTTATTAGTGTTCCTAGAAATGTGGAAAGAAGAAAATCAACCTTCTACTAGCGATGTTTCTCGTAAACTTTTTAATAAAAATACACCGGATTATCAAGATGTAGCAGCAATTTCTGCTAATTGTCCCCTTCAGGAAATTGAAAATGAGGCTACTATAAATTCTTAGGTGTATAACCTAAAAACCCTTCTGGAAGAGAATGCAGAATCTCCTGAAAGTTTTGAAGATACCGAATTTATTCATCATTTTGTGGAAGAACTAGTGATAAAGAAATAATAGAAAAATGTGGGCATTTAAACAAACTGGTTCCTGGATCCCATATAATGGCAGATAGGGGTTTCAGAATATTTAGCTACTTGAAAACATGGGATGCACTTTAGTAAAGCCACACCTAGTGTATCACAGAATGAAAAAAGTTCTCCAGAAGATTTACAATTAAGTAAAAGAATAGCATCTCTAAGAATACATGTGGAAAGAGTTATAAGAAGGGTTAGTTAATTAACAAGTTAAAACCACATTCGTGTGTGAATTTTAAGCAAGTACATTTACTTAGTAATATCTGCATAATTGCTTGTTAACTTACAAGAACCTATTTTGTAAGAGTAAATATTAATTTAATAAATTTTTTTGTTTGTTTTTTTAATTTAATTTACCTAATTATCACATTTCAGGGATTATAATGAGTTTTTAAACAGTCAATGTATTTTTTTATAAAATTTTAACTTTTCGAACAAATCAAAGAGGAATGAGTACCTGTATATGCATAGATTTTTTTTAGACTAAAACTACCAAAACAAAGGCACCTATTTACAGCAGTTTAAAATGAAACATTTTGACAAAAACGCCTATGTCACAGTGATACATATTAAAAACAACCAAGTTCAGTTGAATGTGGTAGCAAAGTCTATATATTCCAATAAATCGGGTAACTACATGTGGTATCACTGGTGATAAATTTAAAAATATCACAATTCTTGCTACCTTTTTCAAAAAACCAGAAAGTGTGCCTTCTTATCAATCCTTTATGAAAATGACAACAGTGATAAATGTGAAAAAAAAATTTAATGTTGCTATTCGTTATTACGATAGTAAAACATGTTTGCAGTTTTGTTTATTTTTTATGAAAATCTAAGTAAAAACAACCAATGTCAAAGGGTTATAATTTTTTTTCTGTTGAAACAAATATATCACAAAATTTAAAAATTTATCATAGGTCAAGCTAAAGTAATACCTTTATTGGTAGTAGCTTTAAAAAAGGAGAAAGAATAATATTAACTTAAATTATTATTATTATTAACATTGGTGACTTTTAATAAAAACTCTTCAATTATTGTTTACAAACAAAAATATAAAAATCTGTGAAAATTTTATTTATTAATCTTTTAATAAAAAATGAGAAAAATGAAGTAAAAAACAATTTATTTACAAATAAAAAATATATATACAAATCCTAAGAATATAAAAGTACTGATTTATTTTCCTGTAGTGGATGAAGAGGTTTCTTTAAAAATCTAGCCAAGTGTACATCAATATTTACGCATTTTGATAAATTAGAGCCTTTCCAATAACACTGAATAGATGTTACAGATGGTTCCTCACTTCTTCTATGAAGCCACATATTTACAACCAACTGAAAAAAATAAAAGGGTTAGATATGCAGTTACAAAATAACTATATAACCAACTACAAAATGCCTTTATTTTATGTAACAAGATGAGCAAAGCTTTACTAGCTCTGAACGAATCCAGTAAAGAACCTCGGATTTTCAAAACTTAATAAAAAAACAATCTCACCACATTTTCACATTTTTGAAATATTATAGAGCTTTTCGAAAAAAATTGCTATTTTTAAAAATACAATTTTTTGTTTAAACAGCTATGTCTCATTTAAGGCTATTGAGTATTATAAAATAAAAAATTACGGGATGCTTTGTTAGCTTCAAACGAATCCAGCAGAGCACCCCAGTTTTTTTTTAAACCACACCACGTTTTTTGGCTCCTACAATATTATGAAATATTCGAAATTTGGCATTTTAAAAAAAATTCGCAATTCCTTGCTGACTTCAAAGTTTTTTTCTGAAAACAAATGTACTTACCACATTTTTAGGATTTTAAAACAGCCTAAACATGTGTCATAAGTTGTTGTTTTTATATATAAAAAAAAAAAATTAAAAAACTGAAGTGTCCTGCTGACTTTGTTCCAACAAAGCACCCTGTATTATTTAAAAATAGCAATTTTTTTAGTAAAGTTTTACAATATTTCAAGAGTCTAAAAATATTCTAAAAATGGGGTGTGGTTTTTAGAAAAAAGCTTTAAAAAACCGAATTGCTCTGCTGGCTTCTTTCGAAGGTTAGCAAGCACCATGTATTTTTAAAAATATAATATTTCAAGTGCATAAATATATGGTGTTGCTGTTTTTACAGAAAAAACTTTATAAAATAGAGGTGCTTTGATGACTTTGTTCGAAGCTATAGAGCATTTTAAGTTTTGCAAAAAACGAGGAGCATAAAATTTTTGAAAAGGGTACAAAAATAGCCTAAAAATATGGCATATTTTTTAACTCAAAATTTCATAGGTGCTCTGCAGCATTCTTTGGTATCATAATTATTACTAGGTTCACTAACAAAATCTGTTTCTAGATTATTTTAACACTTGCTGCGATTACAAAAAATGTCTATATGTCAAAATTAGAAAAAAAAATATTTATAGGAATAAAGGGCCTTATACACTGTTTATTATATGTAATATAAAAACAAAAAAGCATAATAAATATTACAAACCTTGACATGCAGCATATTGTGCACTAAAAATTTCATTTTTGTTAATTACAACGCAACCACATCAGAAGGTTTTTGCCGTACTTTATGTTTAGGTGTAATTTGTCTCCTTCTCTCTTATGGAAAAAGAAATTATCCCCATATTCTTGCTTGACAGATCTAAAAATAAAACCTGAGATAAATATGTTTTACTTGCTCCATATAAACTGTAACTACCTACTATTAAAACAAAGTCTTACCTTTCTGACTTTTGTAAACTGAGTATTGTTAAAAAATGCAGTAATCATCTCGGTAATCATATTTTCGTTTACAATGGGTAAAACACTTGATTCAACTTTTATAAATCCAGCTGATTCATATTAATAATAAAATTAAACCAAAACAAAAAACTAAGGTTAGATGTTACTGATGTTAGGTGGTGTCAATTTTAATGTCACTTAGATGTGCGTTCACTTCGACATTCTGTGTGTTGGTTTGTTCGTTGGCTTGGTTTTGTATAACAAAAAAAACTTCGATACAAGATGATTGGTCTATTCCCGATGACGTATAATTTTAAATTTCAATTGGGCTTAATTTAAATACTTTTGGCTTTTTTAACGAACTGACTATTTAGAATAACTTGTATAGCGACTAACTATTACAATATAATTTATAAAACAGCATATCTCACATGTGAACATGGCCCATTGTGTATTGTTTACAATGAAAAGAAATAGGATTTAAAAAATAATTAAAAAGTAAATAAATAAAACATTAATTGAAACATAAATACGCTAATTATGCTTACATTAAATTTAATTATTTAATTAATCATTAAATTAGGCATCCTTGATTTTGTTTCAGTTGTAGAATGCTCTGTCAATACTGTAGTGAGATTTAAATTTGCAGAGTTGCCAAGCAATTAATTTTTTAAGTAAGAGTGTGGCCCTAATTATTAAAAGAAGAATTTGACACTACTTGTTGATGTTATAAAATAAATGTAAACAAATAATAAAATGTACTGATATTTTAAAGAGTTATGTGTACTATTTTGTGTAGTTCTTTGGGCTCTAAAGTATTCACTAGAAGTAGTCAGGCTGACAAATATAAGACAAAAGGTTAGAGTGGGTTTTAATGTAAAATAAAATACAAAATTAGGATATTTTCGATTTAAGTCTAGTAAATAAAAAGAATAGAACTAGTATAGAATAGTGATGCTAAAATTAGTTTATTTTATACAGAGTGTTTTGAAACTTATCATAAATATGGCACATTTTAAGTTCAATTTACTCATGCCAACATGTTAGCCAATTATACATATACAGGGTGTCCCATAAGTGCGTAATTGATCAATAGCTGTTTTATTATTGGAAATACGAAGAGATTTTTAAAATGAAAATTGTATGGCCATATTTAACAATTGAAGACTTTCTTTTAAAAACAACACATGTCGAAAAATGACTGAATTAAGTTAACTGTGAAAATTAGTAGCCAAGTGTTGTATTTACCGGCACAAATGTTAATTTTCTAAAA